ATTGGAATATTAGGGTTTATTTTGGTCATTTAATTACACATGAATTATTAATATTAACTTTGAGGATTTTCTGCAAAACGTTATTGGGAGTTTTGAGAGAATTTTAAAATATTTGAGATTCAGTTCCAAAAAATTTTGGAAGATCTAAATATTGAAAAAAGACTCTTAGAATTTTAAAATTATAAATGACCAATGAAATATTCATAAATTATAAACAACCTATTCAAAATCTAAAAAGTACAAACAACCCCTAAAAATTCAAAATTCCAAACAAATACATGAAAAATTACAAAAAATAAAATGAAAATTAAATATGACAAATAGTATCATGAAATTTTTTGAAATTCAAGTAGCCCCCTCAAAATATTAAAAATCATAAATAAACCCTTTCAATTAGAAAGTTACAAAGAAACCTCAAGAAAATTACAAGAAAAGCCCCAAAAAATTAAAAAACACAAAACACACACACCCTTCCCTCGAAAAATCTAAAACTAGAAAAAAAATCCCCTTAACTCTAAAAATTACAATCAACCTCTTCAAAATTTTAATAATTGCAAAAAAAAAACATTGAAAAAAAATCTTAAAGTTATTTGCCAAAAAATATTGGGGGTTAAGTGAGAAAACATAAAACTTACCGAGTTATCAGGGTAACAATGTTAGCTTTCAGGGCGTAAAGAGAGAAAGGTTCATGGGAATTTCTTAAATTTTCAAACTTGAGGTGGGTTATTTATAATAATCTTAAACATGAGAGGGTTTCTCAAATTAAAATACTTGAGGGGGGTTTCTTAGACACACCCTATATTTAAGGGGGGTTAAGTGAGAAAAGTTTAATGGTTTATCTTGATATTTTATAATTGAGGAGAGTTATCTACAATATGCATAAACTTGAGGAGATTTTCTCATATTAAAATAGTAGAGGGTATTTCTCCAAAATTAATTCATGATTTTTCAGCTATAATATCAGAAAATGCCCTTGAGCGGTGATTATCACAAAATCCCTTTAGCTTTTAGATTTTATCAACAAAAAAAACCCCTCAACTTTGAGATTTTATCAAAAAAATATCCCCTAAATTTATGGTTTTAACGAGGTCTCCCGATAAAATCACAAAGTTAAAAGGGTTTTCTAATAACCCTCAAACTAACTAGATTTTCTAATATTTTTTTAAAGTTACGCGTGATTATCTGATTATCATCCAAAGTTAAGGGGAGTTTTTTGATATTTAGTCTTTAAAATATTATACTTTATTCGCATAGTTATCTGCACTAAACATGAGATATATTATTTGCTTAATAATTTACTATATCAAGTAGGAAGGATGTAGCATTTTACTATCAGCAACCAACTTAGTGGAAAAGGTTTTTTTAATAGCCAGAATAGGGTAGTTTAAAAGTGAAAACGTGAATATTTAGGCTTTTGAAATATTCAATAGTTATGTTAATTAAAAAGAATAATGTGTGTTAAATTACACAAATAAGGACTCTTAATTTACAACTAAATTCTCATTTAATGCATTGTTTTTTAAGCATTTTGTCTTTCCAATATTATACTTTGTATACACGCGTAAAAAAGATGTATAAATTAGTTTTAACCACAAATTTAAGTTTTTCTAATGTTTTGATTATGAGATGTTCAATATGTATCATTTCAAAGTATTTAAGGTCCTCACCAATTGCGAGCCTTTGAGATGTTTAGTATGTTAATTAAAAATGGTTACATGAGTAAAATTACTCAAATAGGTATTGTTTAAGTTCTGTGATATTTTGATTTTGAGATGTTAATATTATATCATTTTAAAAGATCTAAGGTCTTGACCACTTGCAATTATTTTGATAGACTTGAATTAGATAGCTACATCCTATCAGAACAACATTGGCCACCAGATACTAAGAAATAGAGATGGGCACTGATAGACCTTCTACGTGATTTCTTTTTATTCTTAAAAGAGTCAAAGAAGTTTTATAGAGGTGGATAGATGCTCTATAGTTCTATTGGTGCATTAGACTACCCCATTTGCCTTTGTTTTTTAAATACTTTTAAAAAGAGTTAGAAAAATTCACTAAGAGAGTGTATCCGCACTTGAGCAACTAGTATTGGGGACCATTCACACCAATATAACTATAATGGTCTATCCGCAAATGGGCAATACTACATGGATTTTATACGCAATTTACCCGAGAACTAAAGAGGGCCTAGCTGCAATTGGGCAATACTACACGTGGGTTTCTGCTACAATTGGCAGCTTAGGGGCTGTTTGGTTCCGGTTTTTGGAAGGGGAAAGGAGGGGGAAAGCTGTCAAAATGTTAGCTTTTTGGCAGCTTTCCTCCAAAATCGCCTCTCCTCTTATAGAGGCGATTTTGGGGGAAAGCTACCAAAAAGCTAATATTTTTGACAGCTTTCCTCCCTTTTACCGATCCAAAAAACCGATCCAAGCCAGTGGGGGCCTTGGGGTCTCCAACCTCCGCTCTTTCAACATTTCCCTCCTGTCTAAATGGCTCTGGCATCTGATTGACACCAACAACCGCGTAGGCAAAGTCCTCCAATCCATCTATCATTCCAACCTGCACAGCCCCTCTCACGGGAGCCATAGCTCTAGATTCTGGAAAGACATCACCTCCTGCCACCAATTCTTCTATGGTCAAGTCAAATGGGCTCTAGGCAAAGGCTCTAAGATTCTCTTCTGGGAAGACAAATGGTTAGGAGACAACTCCCTTGCTAGCTTATTCCCTAAGGCCTATCTCCTGGCTTTCTCCAAATTCAATCCAGCAGAGTCCCAAGGGAGAGTTGTGGGGGGAAGATGGCAGTAAAGACCAATCCTCATGCGTCCAACATCTGATATCGACAGAAGCCAAGTCCAAGCTCTCATCCTTCTCCTTCAGGACTCCTACATTGCCCCATCCTCATCTGCTGATAAACCTTCGTGGCCTCTTTCAGCCTCCAAGTCTTTCACTGTCAGATCCATGTACAGATTCATCATGGATAGAGGTCTCCGTTTCCCATATAATGCTGTTGTATGGAATAAGCTTCTGCCTAGCAAAGTTCAGTTGTTCACTTGGCTTCTCAGCCTTAACAGATTGAAAACTAAAGACAGGTTATCAGCTCAAGGTTGGCTAGCAGACACAATCTGCCCCTTCTGTGATGACCTCGAGTCCCACGACCACCTTTTCCTCTCATGCAACTTCTCTAAGCAAGTCTGGGATCCATGGCTCTCCAAAATTGGTTTAATCTCCCTCCCCACTAGCATCAACCATGGCCTCTCTATCTGTTCTGACAAATCCATCCACACATCCATTAGACTCCTTTGGGGCTACAGTTTTCCTACGGTTTGCTGGGTCATTTGGAAAGCTAGAAATGACTTCATCTTCTCTAATCAGTCCTCCACGCCACAACATATCATCAACAAGGCGGTTCACTTCCTTCTTTTCTGGACAGGTGCTTCCTCATCCAAGTCTGCTAGCAAGTTGCGCAAGCTTATTTTCAGCTCGGGGCTTCCTGATATAGCAGAATCAAGTGCTGACAGCAATGCCCTTCCAAGTCCCCATGGGTAGTGGCTTCCTTGCAGCAGTTTCTTTCCATACCAGTTTTTGTTCTTGGTTTTCTCGTCTCAGCTTCCTTGGTCATGATGTAATTTGGCTTCCTTTTTTGTTGTTTTTTCTTTTTTTTTTGGTCCCTGTTGATGTTTTGTCTTAATCTTATGTAAGAGACATCTTTTCGTGATTTGGCCTAATACCCTCCAACTCGGAGGTTCGGACCTAATCACAATCAGATATCTTTTGTAAACACTTTCATTTTTGGTTTATATATACATGATAGGGCTGTATGCTCTATTTTCATTCAAAAAAAAACCGATCCAAACAACCCCTTAGCCTTTCCACTTGCTATAGTGCAGGCCAAGCGCCGATCCTATTGCCATTTTGCTACCATTGCTCCTTAGCAGCTCATCCCTATCCAAGGAAATAAGCCCCGAACATTGAACCAAACGTTGGAAAAGAGTATATAAACTAACGCAGGATATGGACAAAGTTCTTAACCTGTTGTCCATGTGTAACACGAGACAACAAAAAAAGAAATTATCTTCAAATCCATGAAAACACAAAATTTCTAAATTTTCACGTATCATCAAGCTGCAATCTCCATATAGCCTATTACAGTTTTCACTGCACACTAACTGCACGCTTCAATGCTTTCGATGCTGAAGGATCAAGAAGAAACAAAAAAAAAAAAATTGATTTGCATAAATCTGTAAATATTATAGCTCATTGAGCTATTTGCGTGATTCATACCTTGGATATATAATACAAACCTATATGCATCTAAACTGAAAAGTTACAATTGATCCTTCAATTGTCTAATAATTTTATCGAAAAATTGATCAACAATATCACAGAGAATTTCTGAAGATACTTTGAACCGCCTAACCTTCATATACACAAAAGACGACTTTTGACACAAATTGCAAAATATACATCACATTGCATCCTAGAAGAGGAAGGCAAAAAAATTCTTCTCTTTTTTCCTTTTGAAATTATCTCGGGCCAGATAGTTCAACTGCTGGAAGATTGTCGGTAGAGTCAAGAATCCATTCAGGGTTGTGATGTTGAGCCATGTCCAGATCTTGGCGGAAAACCTCGACCTTTTGCCATTCCTCCCACCTCTCAGCGAGGCCATCACCTTCCAACATTCTCACCACTTCCGACATCTTAGGGCGCTCCCCTGGGGAGCCTTGTGTGCAAAGCAAAGCAACTTGGATCAGCGATTCCACTTCAGACTCCGCGTAGTTTTCCTGTAGATCAGGGTCCACTAGCATGTCCAGTTTCTTCTCTTTCAGCAGTCCTTTCACCTGAAACATCAAAGATTTAAGAGATCCATACATAGAACTAACGCTATATATACTTAGTAAGACCAGTTATCATCCATCTATTGTTTCAAGCATAATCAAACAACTGATCAATTTTCTCCAACTGATCATCTAAGTTTTCATCAGCTGGCTTCAAGTTCGTGGAAAATTTATCAGCCCTCAAACATGGCAGAGCGAGGGGAAAATATTTTGAACTCCTCGCTTTTTTTTTTCCTTTTGTCTACGTGTTTACTTTCTATAGATTGCATTTATGCAAATAGTAAAAGGAAAAAAGAAAACCTAAATTCAGTGCAGGTAAATATACATTAGCCATTAGTAAGAAAGAGACAAGAATGTACCCAGTCAAGCAACATAACATCATCATCATTTGCAAGTCGAGCAAGATCAAATGCCCTTTGGCCTGTAATGAGCTCCAAAAGCATTATACCATACCCAAAGACATCAGTTTTCTCTGAAGACTTCCCCGTCGATAAATATTCTGGAGCTATGTGGCCAATAGTTCCACGCACAGCAGTTGTTACATGGGTATCCTTGTAGTCCATGAGTTTGGCCAAGCCAAAATCCCCTACAACCGCCTCAAACTCTTCATCTAATAAAATATTTGCAGCTTTGACATCACGGTGAATAATCTTGGGATCACAATGATCATGCAAGTAGGAAAGGCCCCGGGCAGATCCCAATGCAATCCTTCTCCGAGTTGACCAATCAAGGGGAGGTTCATTTGGAGTGCGCTCTGCACAAAACTATAAACTTAGAGATCATCGAGAAATGAGCCAAAATGAGTAATGATTATCTACAAAATCAACTGCCTTAATCATACCGTCAACATTCAGAGCATAGAAATTTTACAAACTGGCAAAGAACTTGATCAGATAATTTGACATATCCAGATTGAACAATAACATCAAATTAAAACCTTAGAAACGCTGCTCTGTATGTCTAAAATATAAAACCTATCAGGCGCCTATGGAAATGAAATTACTGTTTTACATGGGTGACTAGTCGCATCATATAAAGAAAAATTGTTCTTGAATTAATTTTACATTCCAGATAGGACCTCAAAACATGTCACTTATTCCATCAGAAAACTTGTCAAGTGCGCAGATACCAAGTACTAATGACACTACAGAATTTACTTGGATTGAGGTAGATTTTGAACAAAGACTATATACGGTTTGTCCTGTGATGATTTAGAGGAACCTAAAATTCGGTCACTACAGTATGTTACTGTTTGTACTGTTTGCTTGCTTAATCTAGTTATTGTCTAGTTGGTTATATTCAAAGAATAGAACCCGCATTAGTTCAAGAACCAGGTACCTGTTTTAAGGTATAAGATGATTCCCTGTGTCTGATCACTTCCTATATGATAAATTGGAGAAATTTCAAGATCATTGTCGTCAACAAATTTATCAGATTATTTATCATCATCATCCTAATCTGCTCGACTCAAAATTGGGGTCACCTAAGGAGCAAAAATCTAGAGGAAGAAATGTTGATGAATGAATATGCACTTCCATGACCTACTTGCATATGCTCTAAAGGTGAGTTCCAGATTTCTAGCTAGCAGCCTATACTCGTTAGACGTAGCTTCCTCCATGAACAAAACAAGTAGTGAGCCGATTAGCATATATTCTCGGCTATGCGCTTAAGTTCATGCAACTATAATGCAACTATCAAAATTCTCCTCACCATGGAAAGATCTATAATAACAGATGAAAACGAAAGCAGTAAGGTTTGAGTGAAAATTTAATTCGTCTGCAGGGAACAATAAGCAGGGAAAAAAATCAACTTGAAACACATTAGGGAAATTAGTGACAAGATTATGGACAAATATTAGAATCTTAGAAGTTCTGTGCAGGATACATAGTAAACTGATGTCGACATTGCCTATTTTGTGATCTCAAGGGCGCTGAATTGGATAACAGCTGAACTGCACCATACTTATGTTCTGTAGTATAATATGAAGATTAATCGAGGAAAGTACCTCTTAAACATGAGGCAACACTCCCATTAGCCATGTAAGGATATACAAGCAGCCTTTCTGTAGGAGTCATACAAAATCCGCGAAGCCGAAGCAGGTTTCTGTGAACAGCCATGCTAATCATCTCAACCTCTGTTTGAAATTGAAGTTCTCCACCTGGCGTGCGCTCTTCTTTCAGCCTCTTTACAGCCACCAATGAACCATCAGCAAGCCGCCCCTTGTACACCTTTCCAAAGCCACCCCTACCCAGAATGTTCTTGTTGCTAAATCCATCAGTGGCAACTAGGAGCTCTCGTAAAGAGAACCTTTTAAGCTGGCCCAGATGAACTTCTGGATCTTCTTCAGCTGCAAAAGGAGAGGTCAACAAATTTATGTTCCACTTGAAGTAACCAATACGTGTTCACTATACTACCAGCTGTGTAAAGTATGCCAACCTGGGACATCAAAAAAGTATTCTTGAGGCTTCCGGCGACGCCACCAAGCAAAGCCAATTGCAGGTGCGGCAAACAAAAGAGCAGCACCAGCAGCAACTCCTCCAGCAATCGCACCAGTACTAGAGGTGCTACTTCCTTTTCAATAGACACACAGCAGCCATTAAGTCCAGCCATATCACACAAATTCACTATTAAATATGGAAGCTTTCTCTGCCTCATGCATGCCTTTATAATTATTATGTATTTACCCGTCTACCTTTTCTGTTTGCTTACATTAACATATATGAAGCTTAAAATTTCTTAAAAACATATCACACCCAATGAATAGTGCCTTTGAGCATACATTTTAAACAAGCCATCAAGATTCAAAAGGAAATAACCAAATAAAATTGTTGAATTGGAAAATGCAGTTTATAAGGCATCTATGTAGCAGAACCAATTGTATGGTAGCCTTCTGCACAGATAGAGGAACTCTGAACTTCCACAGCGAGACCAAGGTTCAGTTGCATATATTAGGGTACACAAAAAACTCTTCTTTCAGCAATAAAATTATAAAAGCTTTGAACTTGGTATATAAGAGTTCAAGTACAGAAACTAAAATTTCTCATGTACAATTGGAGAGTTACTCTACCGTTATGTATAGGACTATTAGCTAGGGGGGGAACTATCCTGACTCCGAAGTTTACCCACCAAAATGTCAAATTTAAAGGCATTACCAAAAAGGAAAGAAAACAAATACCTGGAGACGTGGGTGGCGCTGGAGGAACAAATGGAGGGGGCGGGGAAAATGGAGGAGAACCGGGACAAGGTTTAGATGTACCAGGACCACACAGTTGAGGGTTATTACCAAAACTGCAAAATTGGCCAACTATATTCAGGAAAAAGAAGCCTCTTCACAATTGCAAATATATGATTCGTAGATCATCAACAAAAATCATAAGTACCTGATAGGAGTGAACAATGAAAAGGATCCATTCGATGGAACTTCTCCAGACAATCTGTTATTTGACAGATCCCTGCATATTTATTAACAAAGAAGTAATTTAACATAAGAACTCTGGGCAAGAGAGGAGAAAGGATTTATACTGCTTCAAAATAAAAAAGAACTTACAGAACTTGTAGTGTTGTAATGCTTGTCAATGATTGCGGAATTTTCCCCGTCAAACTGTTGTTATTAAGGCGACTATCCTTCCAGAGAAATTTCAAGGAAGATACAATTAACTCATGGACAAATAAATCTTCAGAAGTTATTATAATAAAAATAATCAGCAAATATGTAATTAGAATAAGTTAAAGAATAACTAACAACAGAGTTAACTCCTCAATAATGTTAGCTTCACATATTCGTTGAAAGTGCCATCCTAACGATTGAAATGCAGTATATAGAGCAATTTCCAATAATTTTGAATTCAACATCTGATACCATCATGCTCTCACTATAAAATGTAAGATTTGAGACGAGTAATTCTTCTATGTTCCTGCTCTTTTCTTTCTTTCTACTTGAGTCCCTAAACAAGCAGATCTACAGGTAATGTGCAATCGAGGATAATTTTCACACTCACGTATTTCATAATTCCTTAGGATAGAAAATGCCATAACATTTATAATAATGACTAATAACCCACCAGCTATATAGTACCTCTCTTTTTGCAATAGCACACATATCCAGTGGGAATTTTAGGAAATTAGGCTTCTAGTGAGAGGAGGTCGTACGAGTCTGTGATGAGAGTAAGCAGGAATAAAAGATAAGAACAAAGGCTTCGAATTCTCACAATGGATTCAAATTCGATAAAACATAAACCTCATGCACAACAATAACTAACAGTCGGTTTGATAAAATCATCACATATGTGATACGGGTGTATCTTCTCTTCGGGAGCTTAGCGATCCTCATGGGAGCTTGAGGATAGATGATTCTCATGGTATCTTGAGAATAGAGTAGAGGAGTCGTGGACGAGACCATTGGAAGCAACGAAGTCGAAAGGATTCATCAAAACTGCAGAAATTACAGTTGGACTCTGTCCGGTCGACCGGCGTGGTCACGGCGGTCGACCGCATCGTGCACGGACCCCAACTGTGTCTCGGGACTGAGATCGGTCGACCGATGGTGGCACTGCGGTCGACCGGAGAACCCTGTAATCGATTTTCCAGATTTCGTCGTTCTGACCGGTCGACCGACTTGGGCACTGCGGTCGACCGCGTCGCGGATCCGGGCCTGGGTCTGTTTCCTGCTCCAGTTGGGATTTCTGTTTAGTATAAATAGAAACACGACTTTTCTAGGGTATAGAACTCAGTTTGTAATCAGAAAAGAGATCAGGGAGGTTGTTCTTTGATCTAGAGAGATTGTGAGAGAGAGATTTGTAAAATCCAATTGATTCTCATAATCTAGAGAAGGTATTTTCCTTCGCCCTAATTCAACTCTTGTGTTCTTCTGTCGTTCTTCTTCTTTACCCACTCTTGATAATTCCGCGATCAAGAGTGCTCGCACGGCAACTCGTATCAAGTTGGTATCAGAGCACCTAGATCCTGTGAAGGGGGAACCTGTGTATGGTCCTTACTCGCTCACAGTACAAGAAGCTTGGCGAGATCCTTATTTCTTTGGAGAGAGTCCAGAAATTAAGGAAGGAGAAGATGACTGAAGCAGATAATTCAGCGAGACTTGATGCCATGGAGAGACAGATTGAGACGATCGGGACGACTCTTACCCAACTCGTGGGTCTAATCAACGGAGGTGACAAAAAGGAGGAATCTTCTTCGAAGGGCAAGAAGAAACTCGTCGAATCCGACGAGGAACACGAGGAATCTGATTCAGAGGGGGAGACTGAGATTGTCAAGACTGCCGGACATCAAAGGAGTAAGAACAATTACCAAAATCTGAAGATTGACTTCAAGGTTGAGATTCCTGTTTATGATGGGAGTATCAACGTGGAGAAGCTTGATGATTGGATCGAACGTATGGAGATGTACTTCACTCTCTACGGATATTCGTCCAAGGAGAAGATAGTGTTCGCGACACTGAAGCTTTCCGGGCACGCGTTGACGTGGTGGAAATCCTATTGCAAACAGGAGAGGAAAGCGGCGTCGTGGAACAAGTTCAAGGAACTACTTCGTAAACAGTTCTATCCAGTAGGGTTCCTTGAGGAGCGTTGGTACAAGTGGTATGGCTTGCGCCAAAAGTTTAATCAGACCGTTCAGGAGTATACGACGGAGTTCCAACAGCAGGCGATGGTTCTAAACATCGCAACAGACGAGTATCCCATCTTTATGAAGTACATGGCGGGTCTGAATGAATACATCCGGAAGGAGATGAAGCTGTTTTGGGCAGGCAGAAGAAGGGCAATGAGACAAAGGGGGATTCCAAACCATCGGGGAGCAAGACGGGTGGCTCTCAGTCTAAGGATGAGAAGAAGAAGGTTGACTCGGGGAAAGCAGGATTGACATGCAATCACTGCAAGCAGACAGCGCATGTGGCTGATCGTTGCTGGGATAAGTATCCTCATCTGAAGCCAAAAGGGTTGAAGAAGAAGGAGGAGAAGAAGGCGTACGTGATAGCACAGGGTCCGAAGGAGGTTCCCGGGATGACCGAACCCAATAGCAGTCTCAACCTTATGGCGGGGAAGCAGGCTACCAAGGAAGATGACGACCCGAGGGAGCAGCTCTTTGTTCTGAAATTGCAGGTCAAGACCAGCTTAGTGGATGCTATTGTAGATCCAGGGAGTCAGAAAAATCTGATATCTGAGGCATTAGTACAGAAGCTGGGATTGAAGACGGTGAAGCATCCAAAGCCCTATCCATTAGGGTGGATTCAGAAGGAGGCGGGATTGAGTGTAGTGAACCAGTGTTCATTCAGATTTGCACTCCACGAGTCGTATATTGACGAGGTCACATGCGACGTGGTTTCGTTGGATGTTTGCCAAGTTATTTTGGGCAATCCTTATTTGTGGGATAGATACGCAGTATATGATCGGCGAGCCCAAAAGTACACGTTCAACAAGGATGGCGAGCAATTCATTTTTCGTTCAGCATCTCTTTGTTCACTTTTTCAGAACAAGGATGACTAAGATTTTCAACATCTCTTCGTTCATTTTTCAGAACAAGGATGACTAAGATTGTCAACAACACAGTATATGATCGGCGAGCCCAAAAGTACACGTTCAACAAGGATGGCGAGCAATTCATTTTTCGTTCAGCATCTCTCCCACAGGAGACGAGCTTGGTGACAGTGACTCAGGCTAAGAGGTTGGTGAATGCGGGCAGGAAGTTCGTTTTATTGTTCATTCGGCTGTATGAAGAGCAACTGAGTAGGATGTGCTTGTCCGTCTTGAGCAAGCTTCAGGAGGGAGATCTTGAAAGGTTAAAAGCAAAGTATGCGGACTTGTTTTCGGAGATCACGGGACTACCACCACGTCGAGGTGTAGAGCATGAGATTATGTTGACAGGGGAGAGTTCCTTACCTAACATAGGCCTATACCGCACATCAGTACTAGAGTCCGAGGAGATCAAGAAGCAAGTTCAGGAGCTCTTGGAGACAGGAGTGATTGTGCCAAGTTGTTCGCCTTGCGGGTCACCAGTGTTGTTGGTGCCCAAAAAGGATGGAGGTTGGCGCATGTGCGTAGATTATCGGGCACTCAACAAGATCACAATCAAGAATCGCTACCCATTACCGCGGATCGATGATCTTATGGACCAGTTGGAGGGAGCGAGGTTTTTCACGAAGCTGGATTTGAAGTCTGGTTACCATCAGGTGAGGATTCGGGAGGAAGACACTTGGAAGACTGCGTTCAAGACCAAGCAAGGCCTGTTCGAGTGGTTGGTGATGCCGTTTGGATTGTGCAATGCTCCGGCTACCTTTATGAGGCTTATGAATGATTTGTTGCGACCATTTATAGAGGATTTTGTGATAGTTTACCTTGATGATATCTTGGTGTACAGCAGGACCTGGGAGGAGCATCTTGTTCATGTTGAGAAGGTATTTGAAGTGTTGCAGGACGGACAGCTGAAGCTCAACGGGAAAAAGTGCGAGTTCGGGAAGGACGAGTTGGTGTATCTCGGCTTCATCGTAGGGAAGGGCCAGCGGAGGATAGATCCAGGCAAGGTGGAGGTGATCACAAAGTGGCCGACGCCGAAGACAGTGACTGAGGTGAGGAGCTTCATGGGAGCTTGCCAGTATTTGCGCAAGTTCATTCGACATTTTTCGACTTATGCGGCACCGTTACATGGCCTCACAAAGGCTAAAGTTCAGTTTGAGTGGGGAAGGACGCATGAGGAGGCTTTTCAGTTGCTAAAAAGGAAGATCTCGGAGGCACCAGTGTTGGCGTTGCCGAATTTGCAGCGGACTTTCGAGGTAGAGACCGACGCGTCTAATTATGCGATGGGCGCGGTGTTGACTCAGGATGGGAAACCGGTGGAATACCATTCTGAAAAGTTTTCGGGTGCTGTTGCGAACTACCCAACCTACGACAAGGAGTTCTATGCGCTATATCAAGCAATTAAGCATTGGAGGGTGTACTTGTTAGGGAAGGAGGTGGTCGTGCATTCGGATCATAAGCCGTTGGAGTTCTTACATGCCCAGACGAAGCTACAGCAGGCGCGGCACATGAAGTGGATGTCTTATTTGATGGCTTTCAACATCATTATTAGGTACAAGAAGGGGGCGACGAACAAGTTGGCCGATATGTTATCTCGCCCACCGATAAGGTCGTTGTTGGTGGCGACGCGTATTCAGCCCTTGGTTCCTTTTGAGTATGTTCAGTTGTATGCATCCAGTAGAGACTTCGGTAGTGTGTTTGAGCAGGCGAAGGCTGGTCGAAGGGGGGAGTATGCACTTGGAGATGATGGCTTATTGTATCGTGGGGCATCACTATGCATTCCGGAGGATGGTGATAGGTTGCAGTGGATTCGGGAAGCACATACCTCGCGTGTGCAAGGGCATTTTGGCATTCAGAAAACGCTTCTCAATCTACGGCGACATGTGTTTTGGCCACGGATGCTTGATGATGTGACCAAGTATGTTGGAGGGTGTAAGTTATGTTGTATTTCGAAGCCTTCTAACAGAAAGAGGGGATTGTACCTACCATTACCGGTTCCTTCTAGGCCGTGGGAGAGCATTTCTATGGATTTTCTAGGAGGGTTGCCAACTACGAAGCGCGGGCATGACTATTTGTACGTTGTGGTGGACCGATTCAGCAAGATGGTGATATTGATTCCTTGTAAGAAGACCGTGACGGGAGCGGGTGCAGCACAATTGTTCTTCGAACATGTGTGGAAGCACTTTGGGTTGCCGAGTTCGATTATTTCGGATCGGGATAGCCGTTTTCTCGGGCATTTTTGGGATTCTTTGTGGAGTTTGATGGACACCAAATTGAAGAAGAGCACGGCATTTCACCCACAAACAGACGGACAAACGGAGGTAGTCAACCGGACTATGGTGCACATGTTGCGGGGGTATAATTCTAGGCATCCTAAGACTTGGGATGAGAGTTTACCATATTTGCAGTTTGCTTTCAATCGGGCGATTCATGGATCTTCAGGGAAGTCACCGTTTGAGACTTGTTATGGATTTTTACCGCCGAGCCCGTTCGATCTTGTGTTTTCAAGTGAAGCCACAGTGGACGGCAAGGAGGGGAGTGAGAGACAACGTGCTCAGCGATTTCTTGAGAAGATTGCAAATATTCATGCCACGGTTGAAGCTCAATTGAAGAAATCGCAAGCTAAGTACAAGGCGAAGCATGATCAACATCGGGTTCCTTGTAACTTTGGTAAAGGCGATATGGTATGGCTAAAATTGAGTAAGGAGAGGCTCAAAGGAGAAGGGAAGAAGTTGAAGCCTATTCGTTATGGTCCATTTCGGATTATCGATTAGATTGGCGACAACGCTTTTCGTTTAGATTTGCCACCTTACTTAGGCATGTATTCGGTGATCAATGCCGAGTACTTGAAGTTGTTTGAACCTCCGTTATTGGATGATGAAGGTGATGACAAGTTGATCTTACCGCATGTTGAAGACTTGTGGTTTGATAGAGAGGAGCCACTGAAAGAAGATTGCATTTTGGAACGGAAGACGACCACGACGAGGCGGGGGACGAAGGAGTCGTTTCTCATTGGACGTCAAGGTCAGGTACCTAGCAAGGCCAAGTGGTTCAACAGAGAAGGAGGGGCTCGCGAGTTCCCTCAGCTGAAGTTCTAACTTGAATGGGACTTCAAGTTCCTAAAGGGGGGACCCATGATACGGGTGTATCTTCTCTTCGGGAGCTTAGCGATCCTCATGGGAGCTTGAGGATAGATGATTCTCATGGTATCTTGAGAATAGAGTAGAGGAGTCGTGGACGAGACCATTGGAAGCAACGAAGTCGAAAGGATTCATCAAAACTGCAGAAATTACAGTTGGACTCTGTCCGGTCGACCGGCGTGGTCACGGCGGGGGGCCGCATCGTGCACGGACCCCAACTGTGTCTCGGGACTGAGATCGGTCGACCGATGGTGGCACTGCGATCGACCGGAGAACCCTGTAATCGATTTTCCAGATTTCGTCGTTCTGACCGGTCGACCGACTTGGGCACTGCGGTCGACCGCGTCGCGGATCCGGGCCTGGGTCTGTTTCCTGCTCCAGTTGGGATTTCTGTTTAGTATAAATAGAAACACGACTTTTCTAGGGTTTAGAACTCAGTTTGTAATCAGAAAAGAGATCAGGGAGGTTGTTCTTTGATCTAGAGAGATTGTGAGAGAGAGATTTGTAAAATCCAATTGATTCTCATAATCTAGAGAAGGTATTTTCCTTCGCCCTAATTCAACTCTTGTGTTCTTCTGTCGTTCTTCTTCTTTACCCACTCTTGATAATTCCGCGATCAAGAGTGCTCGCACGGCAACTCGTATCAATATGCCTATTGAGAAAGGTATTTAGTGTCTTAATAGGACACATTAGCACAAGGCATAAGAAGTCTAATCCAAAAAATTATAAAGTAAAAAACAGCCTCCGTACTAGGGTTAGAAATTCGGAAATAGAACCAAATTATATTGCCCTATTTGAAATATACGAAAACATAAAAAATAAAAATATCATCATCCGAAATGAACCATATTAATTTAGTTACTAACTAAGAAATTCCAATCTCTATAATAGCCTAAACATATTGGATCTTAACCTTGATCCAGATCATTTCACATGAAAATGTCCTAGATCAAATCTCACTCTTTATTGGAGGAAACTCGACCTTGAGCTTTCAAGCATAAGAGAATAATGAATCTTGAGCAATTTTGCATGAGGGGTGAAAAAGTAATCACAATTAGAATTAAGCACAAAGCATTATGCATGCAAGAGGAGGACCTAGGATAAAAATCCAATCATATATTGACGCAGCGATGAAGTAACAAACTTTGAAATCCACCAAGGGGTGCTCTTTAAATTCACAAAAAAAAAATCTTGGAATCAATGAAGAACATCGAGTCCACGAAGAAATTTAATAAGATGAATTTTATTGATAAAAGTGATCTGTTAATTCTTACATATCTCTTTTTAAATAGATAAACAACATAGATTCTTAATAGGACTAGAATTACAAAGAAATAAAAAATATCACATCATATCCTAAAAAGACTCTGTATAATAGAGGAAACAAATCAGTCCAATATGAATCGAAATTGAATTTGTTTCCTAATCTAAATTGACGCCAAGTTTATAACTAAAAATAAATAAAAGATGATAATTTTTGGATTTCTGCCAAAAACTTGTGATACTGATGTAACTTTGAGAATCTATCAATCCAAAAGGTTTCGTCTTGTTGAGATATGTGATTTTCATATATAATATGTTAGAAGCCGCATTCCGGCTCAAGAGAGATGGTCGCTTGTTTGCGGACAAGTCAATGATTTATCCGTATCCGCATTTGACTTATGAAGCTCCCATTTCTCCATGAATTTGCTTGTTATGCGTCCTCCATCAGATATAACATCAGAAAATGGATTGAGTAAGATATTCATGAAAGTCTTTGTTGAATGTGATGGAGATTGGCAGACCAAAAACTGCATCAGTTAATCCATTTCGCTTTGATTTAGGTTGCACTCAAAACAAGATTCTTCAAAGGAACAAATCTGATTGTGCCTTAGGATCAAGCCATATCTGGAGATTAAAGTTTGGCTTCTAGCTTAGGCTCTACATTTCGCTCTAGTTTAGATCTAGCAAAGCTCCAATTTTTTCTTAGGTTATAGCCTTGAGCCTGGCTCTGGCTTAGGCACAGGTTTAGATCTAGTGCTAGTTCAAGATGCAATATAATGCTTTGGTGATGATGCAGCATGGGGCTCAAACTTAAACAATGATGGAAAATAATTGCATCTCTTCAAACAATGATGACTAGCAAAAGGAGGTGAAGGATTGTAATACCTTCTCAATAAATAGTAAACTGTAGGACAACTTAAGGGAAAAAAACCTTCATACATTTCTGTGAATGAGTATTAATGTGACTTTCCAGTCAACAACCTTCAGCTTTCCTTTTAGCTTACTTTTGATGTACAAATATATTTGCTCAATTGTCATATCAAAAATTTCATCCAATTTTCTTCCAAATTTTGCATCCAAATTCACCCCGATATGAATTACTGAACCCTCAACAAGACACATCTCCCAATTTGCGAGGATTGTAGCAATATTTTGCAAAGGAGGCACTGATACTGAATAGTGCAGGAACAACCATAATGGTAAGGTGAATTATAGGAAGATGAATATAGACATGAGGTGGAGAATAAACATGAAAATCTTGGAAATTACAGTCACGGTCATCATAACCATAGGTACTGCAGCAGTTGAAAGTACTGTGGCAATCACTGTAATGTAACGGAAGTATTCTATTAGTACTGTGAAGTTTGGTAGTGGATCTATATTTTCTGGTTTCCAGAATGGTGGTATAATTACTTGATAGTTTTTTTTAAGAAATTAAGACTAGCAAATCAAAATATTAATTAGGCGTTTATTTTGAGATTCAATAAGAAAATATAAGATAGAACAGTTCACATTCTCACATCAAAGTATTCTCACATCAACGTCATACCTTAAACTTCACGTTTAAGAAATTTCTCGCCTAACAACACTAATCACTGGTATCATATCAAAATATTACTTCTTATTTTTTAATAAGAACATTTAAGGCCTAAGCAGTTTAAGAACACAATTCTAGAAATATAATATTTGCTTCTAAAATAGGCTCAGAAAATAATCGAAAAATAAAACAAGAAGATATCATTTTATATCCAAAATTAACCAAAATAATTTCTCTACAATATTTTATTGAACCATATTAGATCCGCCCTTGATTTGAGCTCATCTTCAAATAAAATTTTCTCCAGAACCTGAGTAGCCTGTCATCTCACAGATACCTCCCTACCCTATCTACACCAAAAAAACATAGACAAAAACAGCAAGATAACCCTCGTAGAAGTTCAAGTTATGTCAGTTATATGGGAAGTCCTTCCAAATCACAAGCCTACTGCTTCAATGGACGACAGTGATCGATTTATTATTGTTTCAGCTCATGTACTTAAGAAGTCGCTGATAATATCCATCACGCAAGATATGACAAACAAGATTCCAGATGCAGCAACAAGATGCAGTTTCAGCATATTTAACAGATATTAATAATTAAATGCAAGAAAGAATAACATAAATTCTGGAAAAAGGATAGAGTTATCATACAGGAAACGTAGATTTGTCAGCTTCCCCAGTGTGTCAGGTATTGGACCAGTGAAATTGTTTAAGTACAAGTCCAAGCTCACCAGGTTTGTCAAATTACCAAGGCTGCTAGGAATTGTCCCACTTATATTGTTGCTATAAAGTTCCCTGTTATAAAATGATAAATCAGAACAGTTGCCAATCTGAAGATTAATAGCAAAGAAAATTAAAAGTGTTTGTATTTAAACAGAGTACAATTGTTCTTGAAAAAAACAATAATCTTATTTATTTATAAAAATCAACCAATTTTTATTTATTTACAAAACTTGACCAACTTTCAGCCACATTAGCAATGTGCACTGAAAGCTGGTTGATTTTTTTTTAAAAATCTATTTGCTAAATACACGGAATCGGCAATCTCATGTATTTGGCAAATATTAATTAGTCTTAATCACATATACAGGACTGACAATCTCCTTTTTTAAGTCTTAATCACATACACAGGTCTGAAGTGGAAGTGCCATAGAGAGGACTGACAATCTTGTGTATTTGATAGGACGTTTTCGCTAATGGAAAAGGTATTCAACAAACCTTTTTCAAAGGACAAAATGGGTCTCTTCAATGGATGGGGTTGAAAAATCCCATGTATTTGACAAACCATTTTACATATTAAACCATAAAGGAGACAGGATTTTCAATCCAGTGTACTTCATGGTTTAATTCATGCCCAATTCTTGTTGATGCTCAAGAATCAAGAATAGAATTGCAATCTGACAGAATGTGTTGATTGCTTTACAGATTCAAACATCAGTGTGCAGTAGAAATAAGACAAGCCAAATATAGAATAACCTGCCTTTATTGACAAAGGTCTTATGCATCATTGTTTCCTAATTGAAGGATATATTTCACAAACTAATTTGTTCATAGCTAAGCATCTCATTACTTTAAGTGCTACCTGAGAAATGATATTCAGTTATATACAATATATCCAGCATAATGGAACTCACAGGTATTGCAAATTCTTTAGCTGGCCAAGTTGAGGGACCAGAGTACCGGATAAATTTGCATTTCCAAGATCACTGAGAGAAAATTGGAAATATTAACCATAAAGCTCACATAAGTATAAAGATAGATGATGTTAAATAAGGTGCGGATTGAGGTTATCTACTTACACTCTATTGACACTATTGTCATTGTTACATGTCACATGAAACCATGTACATGGATTGACCAGTGTAGGGTCCCAACTTTGCAGTACCTTATTAGGATCACTTAAGCTGTTTCGTAAGCTATTCAATGCATCACCTGTTTGTACAGGAACAGAAATGTTACCAGAAGTTGATAAATATTTGTAGCAAATGGGAGGCAAACTGCAAACACATAAGAGATTATGCTGATAGAGAGGCTGAGCAACAGAAACCTTGGCATGTATCTATCAGTAAATAACCAGATAAATATTTTCCTTTTTTTCTTCGTTGGGGAAGGCAAGAAAATTAGTTCTAATTGAGTTGTTTGACTTGAAATATGTATAGAAACAACAACATAAGCATAACAACGTAATAAATCGAAATGCCAACCAAGTTGCACATTTAATCCGCCAGGGTTTCTTTAAGGTTAACATGGTAGTGGAGCAAAGACGTTGATCCTGGAAACCGTAGTGCTTCTTATCCTCGGGCTGCTGAAGGGGGATATTTTACAAGCGTCATCGCAGTGCTTCCCCGTGGCCGGCTTCAACATAAAAAATTCTCCACCAGCTAATTCTGTTATTAACCTCTATGCAGTACGTTAGGGAATGTAATATGGTTTAGTTTTGTTTTTAAAAATAATTATAGAAATATCCTAATATGAGGTTCTACAAGAGTCAAATTCAAGAAATATGTATCGGTAATGGTAAAAGAACCTTGAGAATCATGTTGCAATCAAGGTATGTATACTTTATTCGCTTAATTTCTCACGCTTTTGTTGATTATTTTTTTGAAAAATAGTTATTTTGTTCAAAAATTTAACTGGTTTGAATTCAAAATCTGGTCGCCGGAGTTGACGAACAGAGTCGCATACCACCGCGATCCAGTTTGCTAATGTTTCCTATTTCGGGATGATTGAATCCGAAGGGGGGTTCGGTATAGCATCCCACGTTCCTAACAACTATGGTAAAGAGTAATCTAAGAATGAGATAGGATATACAACCATTCATTAGATGTCCACGTCAACATGTCCATGCATATGCATATACGTTTATATATGTGTGTGCATCTGTGTTTGTCAAATTAATTATATCCTGACACACCGCAGTCCATAAAGCCATGCTTCTCGTTTCTCAAATTAATAGGACATGCTCAATTACCTATGCCACGTTATATACTAACAACATCAAGGTAGGATATTCAGATAAACATAAAACTGTCAATGGTGGTCGGTCTTCGTCCTGACTAGACCATAAACTTACAAAGTAAAAAACTAAGACACTAACACCACTAACAGTCACCACATCATGATCTTGAAATTTGAAACAAATTAAAAAGTAAATCAACTACACATCGATTCAGCACTAAGATAACTTATGGTTACAGTCTCTATGTAAGTAGTGGTCACTTAAACGTATATTCATGCTGCACTGCCAAATCTACAGTTCACCCTAAAAAAGGATAACTCAAATTCTTCTACCAGTTATATACAGGAATCATCTGAAACAAAAGGCTAACCAGTAGCCACACAATCAACTGCCGTATAGCAATCAAGCGTGTGACTGGTTTAGGTGCCCAAGGAGATGATAGGTCTATAGCTTTTTATGTCCATGTTTCACAATAAAACAACTAACTAATCACAATTCAATACCTTAGCTTATACCAATAATGTAATGAAGGGGATGAGCAAGGGCAAGAGCCAGATATAGCATATAGCACTTTCCACATTAAAGCTCTATGATCAAGAATGGATTGCAGGCCACCACTTTGACGTATATCGCAAATAACTAACCTAAACAACAAGAACTTTATTAGTAAATACCTAAAGATACCTTGAAATTATTCGTTGATTGGTGACAGCAAACATAACTAAACAACGGCTTTTCGCAATCCTACAGGAAGCAAAATTACAAGTATCATTATCAACTCTTTCTCACTGCCTAAAATCCTAAGCCCGTGCTTCCCAATTCAAACACCCAACATAACGCCGTTCTATATATACCACAGCATATGCTAATTTTGGTAAACAAGACAACATTAAGCTCGCAACTTCAACAACTAAAAACTAATCAAGCAACCAAAGTTAAAACATTTGAGGTTTGAACTCCGTCAGAATCTTTAAACTTATTAAAGAAATATTGAAGATATTAAGAAAACCTCAGCTAACCTTCCGTATTAGCGCGAACCCTAGCTAAGGGACTGAAGACCAAGATCAGCCATAGAAACAAAGGCGCCATGACATCTCGGTCCATTAGAACCGCTCCTCCAGCTTCAAAACAATCTCAGGTCCGTACAATTCAAGCAGCAGGAACCCTAACTCTTTCAAAATTAACCTCACCGAAACCTCAAGCCCACCACTGTTTTCGTCGAGAAAACCACGGGTTCGACCAGAATCCGACGGTTGAAACCCGCAGAGATCGGGGGAAAAGGGTTTCGGCGACGGTTTAAATCGATTTTCCCGTGGAAAAAATGCGGGGTTTTTAATCCTCGGCTTACTTTTCAATTTTTTGTTTTTTTTCCCTGCCTTTTTCTCTTTTCTCTCTTCTTTTTTTTAAATAGGAATTTCTCTTTCTCACACAGTCCCACTGAAGAAAATCGCTGGAGTTCTGGGGCTCACAGCCGCCCGATGCCCGGACGGAGTCAAAGGCCGAAACGGGCCGAGCAGCACGTTAGTCAAAGACAAGTGGGGCCCGATGTTGACACGTCGGACCTGCCAGGCCCGTAATCGGATATGCTAGTGTTGGCTTTTACGGACACCAATTTTGCTCACGCCCGGAGTTTTACCTTAATGATTTGGGAGATTTAGGTGATCTTGCTCGGACCCAGTTTACTGAAAGTGAAACGGGTGCGCGTAAATTACCTTGTTTTTGCGTTCTCCTTGGTCAGAATTTTGCGGCGACGCGCTTCGAGCGTGATATATTTTATACCGTGCTAAGCTTGAAATTGGGGCCCACGATAGTTTTTTAATCGCGGGGCCCACCATAATTTAGTGGGATGATTAGTCAATAGTTTGACCCACTGCTTCTATTTTATTTTATTTTTTGACGTATTGTGGCTTTAATTGAACTTAATTATTCTATAGTTTCCCTACTCTGCATTTATGCTCCCATTTATTTTTGAAAAATTCCCCAATGACCCAAAATATGAGACCAATAGGGGGAACAAGTAAGATGTTCACCTCCTATTGGATAATAAGTTGGCCATCATTAATGATGGCCAACTCATTATCCAATAGGAGGGGGACATCTTACTTGTTCCCCTTATTAGTCCCATATTTTGGGTCCCTGTAGCAAAGCTCTTTCCACCAAAATTTTCATATGACACTCACATGTTAATTTTAGAATATTATAACTCTTAATAGTTATTAAATTTATTGTTATACTTACCAAGATTCAATTTATAACTAATGTATTTAACTGTAAATTGTAAATTCCTTGGGGCATAAATGCTGCCAAAAAATAATTAAGGGTATATCAATACAAAGTACGAAAATCTATATGACATTTAAATACAATTAAGCCTAAAATTGTAGACCTTTTGTTCGGAATATATTACTTTGACTGTGTTGATGTTATCGCGGTATTCTAATGTTTTTCAAAAATGATTTACAAAATTATCGATTTTTGTGTAAAATCTATTTTAGAATGTTTTGATGCCATTGTAATATTCTATTATTTCTCAAAATTTATTTTAGCGGGTGTTGGTGTTATTGTAATATTCTAAAACTTACCAATTATTGTTTTATAAGCATCACAATTTTTATTTATTTTTTTTATTTTTTAGGTGGTCTGGCGAGGTTTCACAAATCCGGAATAGTCTTGATACCCCGAAGCAAATGTAAATGCCTAAGATGTGATGGGGCATCTACAACCAAGTTTTTCCCCTAAATATGTTATGCAAAACTGCGATTAATTTTCAGATAAGTATTCATCATGAACCTCGCGTTGGTGTGAGATCACTATCTCGGTTTAGTATAACTTTCTTTTCATCGTAATTTTCAAAAAATCCCTCTTACTTTGGAAGTATTTTAGATAATCCTCTTAACTATTTTTATTCTACAACTTCTCTGAACTTTAAGTAGTTTTTCGCATAAGACTCTGAAGTTATTTTATATCACTAAATTCCTTATAAAGATTTTCCACACTAACCTTCAAAGTAACATTATAAAGTCCAACTTGTCATACGTGAAGCACGTGACCTTAAAAAGATGAAAATATCCCTCTACTATAAAAAAAAATTAATGAAAAAAATAGAAATGTATTTTTTTTTAAGTGATGAGGGTTTCTTCATCTTTCTTGATCACGCCAGGGGACGAACTAGAAATTTTTTTCTGTGGAGACACGTGCATAAATATTCTACCAATTGAAATTTTATTTATAAAATAACTAAAAAGATTTAAAGACACAATGATTTTGAATATCATGTTCATATCAACACATTATTATTTTCATTTCATCACACAAACTAAGAAAAATACAACTAAGTTCCCTAAAAAATTCTTTAAAATCTATGGAGTAATTAACTTTATGGGGACACCTATATAAATTGTATAAGGGCACATCTATACATTTCTATACTTATTGGTAACAAATTAAAGGGAAAATTGCTTGAAGGAACCAAAATAAATTGGCCCATGCATCCTCACCCCCAGTCCAATAACCATAACCATAAACCCCTAAAAGTGAAAAAAAAGTGCAACTAAGCCCCAAACCCACTGCCCAAGAAAAACATTCCTAAATTACCCTTCTTCCCAAATAGTTCATCTTCCTCCTCTCCTCCCCTCCTCCTCTATCCTCATCTGCACTTTTTCCTCCTCTCCCCCTTCCCCGCTCCTCGCCTGCTCGCTCCCCTCCCCTTCCTCCCAGCTTTCCCCTGCCTCTGGCCTCCTCCCTTCTCATCCGCATCCTCACCTCCTCCCCCTTCCCCCTCCTCCCCGACCGTATCCTTGGCTCCATCGCTAATGGGTAGTTCGAGGTCTGAGTCCTGATTCTTGGTCTCTTTACTAGGTATGCTTCAAATTTTGATTTTTAATGAATTTCTATGATCTGGCAATTTAGGGTAAAAAAAAATTTTGTTGTGATTTTTTTGTGCTTGTAAATTTTTTCCGCCGACCGCCGGGCCCACTCCTCCGGCCCCATCCCCTCCCTCTCCCCCCTCCTTCGATGACCTAGAGGTGAGTTCTAATCTTCTCAAATTTCTATCCTAAATCCTTAGGAGTTTAGTTTTTGATGTTTTATTAGTAAATCTAATGGTGAACGAGATTCAATCTCAAAAGGAATTATTTCTAGGGTTCGAAAATCCATCAAATTTGTTTATTTTACCTAAAATTTTGGACTCAGGAATCTAAATTAGAGTTTGTTTGTTTACAGTGATTTGAAGCATTAGCTTATTTTTTCACAAAATTCTTAATTTTTTTTTGGGTTTGCAGTAGAAATGAAAGGATTTAACTAAGGAGGAGCTAGTAAAGTGTTCCTTGCCAAATTACAAGCTTGGGAAGACACTGGGTATTGGGTCATTTGGAAAGGTAAAGATTGATGAGCATGTTTTGATTGGGCATAAGGTCGCCATCAAGATTCTTAATCGGCACAAGATTAAGAATATGCGATGGAGGAGAAATGTATATTTTGATCATGGATGGTTAATCTTCAAAAATAGTTTTTAGATATTTGTTTCATTATAATTTTCCTTAGTTTCCCAGGAGAAAATGATACTGATGAGTGTTCATTTTGAACGGGTATTTACCAAATCATAATGTTACTACAACATGCATATGTGTAACAATACTAGTGCTAACTCCCGTGCATAACAACTAGTTGCAACCTGAATATTATGCTATGGTTAAGCAACTTTTGGATACATTGTTTGTTAGTAGACGTTTTCCTGCGATATGGGTGATTTACTTACAGCTTTAGCATGCAAAGAAAAGTCTTTTATGTTTGTTTATCATGTGGGATTATCTTAACTTGTAGAAACTTTTATTGGATGTGATTATCAATGAAAATTTGAGATAATCCTCATTTACGTTTGTGCCATATATCTGATATTTGGTATATTGTGTGATTTATGTGTTGTTATGTGATATTTTGGTATTTTGCATGACTTATGCTGCTGTTAAGTGATATTTTGGTATTCTGTGTGACTTATGCTGCTGTTATGTGACATTTTGGTATTCTGTGTGATGTATGCTGCTGTTATGTGACATTTTGATATTCTGTGTGACATATGCTGTTGTTATGTGATATTTTTACATTCTGTGTGATATATTCTCGTTACCAGTTATATTGCTGCAGTTTAAGTGTTATGTGATATTTTTACAGATATAATTGTTGCATACATGCATATTTTTTCATCAAGGCGATCCTAGAGGGAAGGGAGACAATAAATATTGAAGCCTTACAAAGGGAGTTATTCGATGTTAGGAGCATGACTTGCTGCTCAAATCATATGCGAACGTGGTGAATGGAAGAAGTTGCAATTGAAGTTAGATATTGACGATCCAAAATATCTTTTGTACTTTGGGGGTAATGATGTACCATTGATTGAGTGGAAGTATTAGACAACCACACATAACTGTTTTATTTGTTGGATTTGGGATGTTTACTAGCTGTTTGTAAATGATAAAATTTGTATTTGTAATTTATTGGTGATCTTTGTTGTTTAGCATATTAAATAGAATCTAAAAGTAAAGTTGTTACAGGTGTCACAGTTAATACTAATAAGGCACACGAACAGGTAATGTGTCACAATTAAGTAGTAAATGTCACAACAAAATGTCAAAAGTAACATGTAACAGACAACAGTCACAAAAGAGTTTGAATTCTGCCAGGAAACGTTAGTCTTGGATAGGTTCAGTGCACATGACTCGGTTATGTCCTTCAGTGATACTTCAAGAGTGCTTCCCTTCATGCAATTTTGTTGAAGAATTCTGCTTCAGGACATAGATAGCTATTCGATTTTGTTGTCCATGGATCAACGTTAATCTCAGGCTCCCTCTACAAGGCTTCAATATTCATAACAGATAAATGTCACATATAAACGACAACTGTCACAAATAATAGCAAAATATCACATAACACAGATAAGAGTCACGTATAATAGAGTATTGCCACATGAGACGAGTAAAGGTCACACATAACATACAATTAAACGTATACTTGTATGTAACAAACTCCAATAATTTTAAAATACGTTGAGTAACACTTAAGGCAAAACCCATCGCTCTAAACTTCAATTTATATTTCTCAACAAGATGAAGTACACATCTAGAATGGTGCACATCTAGAAATATATCTTTTATATGAGGTACACATCTAACGTTCACATATAATACATTAACGTCACATATGATGTCTCAATGTCACATGTAATACTCAAAAGTCACAAATCAAATCTAAATATCACATATAAGGTAGAACCGTCACATGTAGAATTGAATTGTCACATATAACATTGAAATATCACATATATGGTTCACTAAAGTACGTTATTTATTGAATAAAAATTTTAGGAAACATTGTTATAGATTGGTTACACGAAGGAAATGGGATGATGGGTTGAGATTGTAACTTAGTTATTTAAGGTTAAATGAGAAAATGATGGATTTTTTGGAATAATGATATTTCAATGTT